AAACAGCGATAGATTTGGCAGAGGCTGGCAACGTTTCGACTGTGAGATAAGAGTTTTGAGGTGAAGAATAATTCATCACCGATAAGGCCGCTTAAGCGCTTTTGAACTCTGTTGAAGCTGAAAAGCGAAAACATGGTGGTACCAGTCAAGATATAAACTAATAGACTGACCCTCAAGAATTACTAGATATTAATAAAATGTTAGAAAAATGTATTTGAAGGCAACCATATGAAAATCTTGCAATTGTAAGAACTCAACAAAATTGACGATCATTTTTGACGGCATCGATGAACTAGTGTTAGGATAAGATTCTACTGGACATATAGTGGGGGTCGATTTTCTTTTACTATTAAGTAATAAACTGACTCCTTAAAAATTACAACATATTTAGATAATTTCGCGTAGGGAATCGATTTTCTTTTACTATTAAGTAATAAACTGACACGCCTAAACATTACGACATATTCAGAAAAATTATTTTGGGGGATCGATTTTCTTTTTAACGTTAAGTCATAAACTAACCCACCTACCCCCAAAATTACGACATATTTAGATAATTTATCATGGGGGATCGATTTTCTTTTACCATTAAGTAATAAATTGATCCCCTAAAAATTATGACATAGATAATTAATCGTGGGGTAACGATTTTCTTTTACTATTAAGTAATGAACTAATCCCCTAAAAATTACGATATATTTAGATAAGTTATCGTAGGAGATCGATTTTCTTTTACCGTTAAGTAATAAGTTGACCCCCACGCCCCCAAAAATTACGATATATTTAGATAATTTATTGTAGGAGATCGATTTTCTTTTACCGTTAAGTAATAAGCTGACACCCCCCAAATTACGACATATTTAGATAATTTATCGTAGGAGATCGATTTTCTTTTACCGTTAAGTAATAAGCTGACCCCCTAAAAAAAAAAAAAATAAATTACGACATATTTAGATAATTTATCGTAGTAGGAGATCGAATTTTTTTTTCTACTATTAAGTAATAAAGTGAACCACTCAAATTACCAACAAATTTAACAATACGATAGTGGAATTTCTACGTATATTTAATTGTCGCCATGAGCTTATTCAATCATTAACTTAACAATTAAGATTAATCAGAATTTTAAAATAGGAAAACCGTAAAATTTCCACGGGTTAAAATTTGTTAATATTATTTTTTTTTTTTTTTCTCTCTCTCTCTCTCTCTCTCTCTCTCTCTCTCTCTCTCTCTCTCTCCCTCTCTCTCTCTCTCTCTCATTTTTCTCAAAGTTTTTATATGTATTTAAAAAAAAACAAGATAATAAAAACACTTCAACCTGGTTAAATGTTGTCTCCTTTCATTAATTCTTCTAATGGAGGCAGAAAATTTAAAAGAAAAAAGGTTTATTGTAAATGTTTATCAAAGTGGTGTTAAATTATTATTTTGTTGATAGATTTATAAATTGATTGAGCGATCGATAGATTGATCGATAAAACGATATTTTGACCTCCTTTAAAAAACTTAATAGATGTAGTTTATTTAATTACATTATTAGAGAGTTGCGTGCATGACGATGTGTCTGTGGTTCCTTCCATGTGTCTGTCAGATGAGAGGGGAGAAGCTAATGGGTAAAACAAGAGAAACTCTATGTCTGTGGGTGCTGTATATACCGTATACACTCGTGTATAAGTCTACTTCATTTATAGTGCGATCCCTGAATTTTTATTTCAAACATAAGATGTCTTCATATAACTCATGTATAATACGCTCCCCCCAGCTTCTGAGCAATATTAGTAGACCTACCGTAGTGAAATATTGCAGTACTGGACATTATCCTGGATATATTTTCTAGCAAATGATCTTCATTCTTTTTTTGTACAACACTATTTCACAATGGTGTGAAAAACCACTTACCGTAACATATCTGATAAGAAAATTTACCGTAATTCCCCAATATAATACGACTTCATCTATAATACGCACACCTAAAATTATGCTGAAAGTGTGAGAAAATGCTTTTACTCATGCATAATACGCACCCCTTGTTTGTTAATCAAACCCTATAAACTGTACTTCAATTTCATTTCAGCCAGCATTTCCTACTCTTATTTAAAAAAAAATGATTTTAAACATAGAATAATATTAATGATAAATATTCTAATTTAGTTTTATGATAATTCTTATTTTATTTTACGGCAATTTTTTTAAAGATTTTTTGTAGCTGTGCATAATCCGCACCCCTGATTTTGCTTATTATTTTTTTAGAAAAATGCGTATTATACATGAGGAATTACGGTAGATACCGTTCTAAGTCAGGAGCTTACCTGTACCATTAAGGGTTATCCATGGGTACCGTCAGAATGTAGGTCTACCGGGTATGTTACGGTCACTGAAAATACAAAAAAAAAAAAAGTTTTAACCTCTCCAGAAAAAATTATCTGTGTATAGTTAGTCATAGGTATGACGATAAACTACATCTGGCAGCAAGGCCTCTGATCTGGAGAATGGAGGTTTTGAGGAACGTGGAAAACCTCTTAATTGATGTTGTTTACGGATACGGTGGAGTAAGGGATAGCGGCTAGGGCTGAGGAATTGGATAGCCGAGTTCGAATTCCACTCGAATCCATTACATTCACTTACGAGCTAATACCCTTGGGAAAGGTATGAATCCTGCTTTTCTCCCCTCAGCTATGGGCAAAACAGCAAGAGCGACCGGGTTCTTTAGACTGGATGGCAACTGGTCTACCGCAAAAAGAAATAGCAACGTACTGTGGGAAAAAAAATTTGCCTCGCCAGTCATGTATCGAAAGATACATGTTCGCCTACGCGTGTATCACGCATGGCACATAACTGACTGACTCTCAGCTACACCCTAACCCAGGCGGTAGCACCTGTTAGGGTCCCAGCTATGGGCAAATAGTGATCCCCCAAACAAAAGCAAAACAATATGAAAGAATAAATATAGATTTTATAGTAAAATTACCAACAATATATTTTTATAGTGAAATTACCAACACATTTTATCTGTAATTGAAGACATTTAAAATATATTTAACTGAAGCCATAAAATTGTGTTCAAAATATTTACCGTCCTGGGTATGACGATAAACTACATCCGACAGCAAGGTCTCTGATCAGGAGGTTTTGAGGAGCATGGAACCAACTCTCTTAATTGCTGGTGTTCCCAGGTCCACCCTCACCCGAAGTGGTAGCAGTTGTCAGGATCCCAACTATGGGTAAATAACTCCCCCCCCCCAAAAAAAAGGTGTCAGAACACTATGAAAGTATAACAATAGGTATTAATACCAGCAATATTTTTGGGGGAAAAATTATTATATTTTTGAAAAAGAAAAATATTACTAGCAATACATTGTTGAAAAAAAATGATTACCAGCGATACATTAAAAAAAAAATAATGATTACCAGCAATAAATTTTTGGAAAAAAAAATATTAGCAGCAATAAAAATCTTGTTGGTATTAAATAACCCATTGTGGTTGGTATGCCGTAAAAACAAAAACAAAACCAATCCAAATACTTAGGTTTCGACATTAAATAAGCCATAGAGGTTGATATGCTTCTAAGAAGAACCGATAAATAAACCTGTGTATAATGCAAACAGTCACCGAAAATGAATGTTTTTTTTAACCTCTGCAAAAATAATTGTCTGTCTATAGCGCGACACTTATTTTTTGCGTAAAAAACTGATCATAAATATTTGCATTATACTAGAGAATATACGTTAAGTACGAAAATTAAACACACACACACACAGAGAAAGGAGTAATTAAAAGATATTTTGAAGGGAGCATGAAGAGACGTCTAAGAAGCTCATTAACCATCACCGAAATTTCATATAGAACATGCCTTCTTGGTGTCATGATTTCCACTGACACGAAATGGAATTATTATATTGAATCAATAGCTACGTCTTCTGCTAGAAAAATTGGTTCACTGTGTTCAGGGAAGACAAATTTTCTTCCCTGAATCTATCTTGCACACTTATAAATCCGTCCGTGCATGAAATAATACTGTCATATCTGGTCTGTTGCTTCATCTATATATCATTCTTGACAAAATCCAAAGAAGGGTCTGCAATGTTAACAGTCCTGACCTGGCATCTCGACTTCAGTCAGTTTCCCAGCACTATAACGTAGCTTCCCTGTCTTTTCTTTAAATATGTATTTCCATCGGAGTTGTTCCATTGAGCACTTCTCTTTGATACTTCGAACGCGTGTATTTAAGCGTACCGATAGATTGTCAAGTAGGTCTCATCGTTTTACGGATATAGCCTTAAGTTTTATTTAAATAGTTTCTTTCCTCATACTTCTCGACTGTGGAACTCTCTTCCACTTTCTTGCTTTTCTGCCACCTACGATCTTTAAAAAATTTAATGTAGCGTCAATCGTCATTCACCGTTTTCCTGAATTTAGTTCTGTTATTGTCCTTTCTCAGCACTAAAAGCTTCTCATTCTTTTTCACTTGCAATAACTCATGGGGTCTTAGTTGCATTATTGCCTTGCTTAGGTGCAGCGATTAATAAAAAAAAAACAAATAAAAAACTGAGATAGATAGATAGATAGATAGATAGATAGATAGATAGATAGATAGATATGAAGAAGTGGTAATATAGACAGCTAGAATAAAAAAGACGAGAGAGAGAAAGGAAACGCCCAATGAGTTCATGATGTAGAAAGAGCTAGCTGGCTCGATAGATAGATTGAAAGATAAGTAGAGAGAAAGAGAGAGAGAGATACGAAAAAACTGAGATAGATAGATAGATAGATAGATAGATAGATAGATAGATAGATAGATAGATAGATACGATCAGACTGAGATAAACACGAACGGACTGAAATAAATACGAACGGACTGAGATAGATAGATAGATAGATAGATAGATAGATAGATAGATAGATAGATAGATATGAAGAAGTGGAAATATAGACAGCTAGAAAAAAAGACGAGAGAGAGAAAGGAAATGCCCAATGAGTTCATGATGTAGAAAGAGCTAGATGG